AATATCGGGTTTATTGTCGCTATTCACATCGACGACTGCTACTGACCGTGGGTTACTACCAACTGGGTAATTAGTTTGAGCATTAAAGGTGCCGTTGCCTGCATTGAGAAGAACACTGACGCTGTTACCGCCATTGTTTGCAACAACAATATCGGATGTATTGTCGCTATTCACATCGACGACTGCTACTGACCATGGTTAACTACCAACTGCGTAAGTAATTTGAGCATTGAAGGTGCCGTTGCCTGTGTTGAGAAGAACACTGACGGTGGCCGAACCCTCGTTTGCAACAACAATATCGGATTGATTATCGCTATTCACATCGACGACTGCTACTGACTGTGGATAATTACCGGCTGAGTAAGTAGTTTGATTAAGAAACATATTGCAGCCTATTAAATACAAAAAACTTGTTCTTACATCTGTACTAGTATATAGGCAGTATTCAATCGTTGTATTTTATTCAATCTTTGAGAGTTTAACTTAATTGAACATACTCTATTCGAAAAGATTATGTCACTGAATTTTGGACAATTTCAGATATCCTAGAGCACAACTAAAGTCAGTTGTCAGCCATTCTGTCCATCCCTACGTGAAATCGTCTTGTAAATTTGAGAAACTCATGAACTCATCTAACTCTACTTAAAACTTGCGCTCCCTTTAATAAAGTTTCATGATATCCTCGACTAAGAGGACTCAGAATACTATCCAAGCAGAATACAGAATGCCGTACATTTGTTCAGAATTTTATTTCAACATATTTATCATTCGTTTTTTGGACTGCATTAAGATAATTCTGTGTCACACAAACCAACAATATTTCTACAAAATTCCAGATTCTACTTTTCAAGTATTTTGTAGTTACCGGTGCACCCACACCTTATTCTCGTTCTCGTCAAGAACAGCTCAACAAAAATAAGTTATGTGTTTGCGTTATTGTGGTTTTGTTTTTCAGTGTGTGGTATTGGTATGCATGAAGTTAAAAGTGGAATTATATCAGAGTCTACTAAATGTTGTATTATTAAATGGAACTAAACATTACACGTTTTATTTCTTGTAAGTTGTGTTCTTCAATAGTTATCCTACAAATGAATGTACTTTTCAGATTCAATTACTGTTCTTTCGTGACTTTATATATGTAAAAATAAAGTCGGTGTCAGTGCTGACTCTGCCTTTTTTTGAGTTCATATTTTCCAAGAAACAATAACTGAATTTGACAGATGCATCAGTTAGTAGAGTAAATATTAAAGAACACAAATCACAATCAATAAAAGTTCTAGTGCTTAGTCTATTTTATTAGCACAGCATCTGATAGACACCGCTACAAGTCCAATTTTGACTCCTTGCAGCCCCCTACTGATTGATCGAAAACCACTAGGAGAGAAACAATGAGGGACGCAGGTGAACGCGACTATATGCTGGCGGGCGAGGAGTAACCAAGAGAAAAGCAACAATAACGAGGCTTAGTTCTCGCTGCCACAATATTCGTTATACTACTATACTATAGTGCTATTTTACTATTGACAGCTTTTTCTAAAAAAAAAAGTAATCGTCAATGCTGTGTTCGAATCAACGTCGGTTTTTCTGAATGTCGGTTCTTGCAGCGGAGGTTTGTACTAACAACATAATGACAATAATATGTTATGTCCAGAAATAAAGCTTCTACAAAAGACACTTGAGTAAATCTTCAGACAAATGTCATTTGTTTATCGAAATGATAAATCTTTAAAAGATAAACTCTCAAACTTTTAAATTTGGTTAGTGAAACAAGCCATCGGTTAGAATACTGTAAAAATAAGTACAGCACTGTATCTAGTATATCACTGACCGGGTGTTGTTGGTACTGGTGTTGTTGACCTTGTTGTTGACGACGAAGTGCTTGATGATGTTGATGACGATGTTGTTGTTGATGTTGACGATGAAGTGCTTGATGATAATGTCGATGATGATGTTGACGTTGATGCTGCTGGTGTTGTTGCCGGTGATATTAGTGCCGCTGGTGTTGTTGCTGGTGATGTTAGTGCTGCTGGTGTTGTTGCTGGTGATGTTAGTGCTGCTGGTGTTGTGGCTGCTGACGTTAGTGCTGCTGGTGTTGTTGCTGCTGGTGATGTTGCTGCTGTTGGAGTTATTGTTACTGCTGGTGTTGTTGCCGGTGATGTTATTGCTGCTGGTATTGTTGATGTCGTAGTCGGTTCTGTTTTAGACAAATGAGATTAGAGGTGTGGGTATGAGCGTGGGTGTGGCTCTTCTTCAATCTCCATACCCATACCCTCAATATGGATTTGAGAATGGAAAAAGATCCGTGCTCACACCCAGACCCACACCTAGTAGGTCATGAAAATCCTTTCTAAAAACTTATACTAATTACATAAATAAATATGTACAAATGCATCGATATATATATATATATAGTATATTTAAACATAACATACACATATCATATATATAATATATGAAAGCTTTGAAATACTCTGTAATTCATTTCCAGCATGAACTTATATTGGCGTTTAGCTATTTGATCGATTTCTAAGAGATAAGACTAAGTTAGGCAATAAAGAATTGACCTATTCATTTATCTGATTATAATATTGTTTGTACTATTCTAAAAGTAACTCTATGAATATACTGCTCGTGATACGTAATATACAGCTAGTACGAGATCTTGTGAATCGTTTGTTCGATCAATGTAAGAAAGAAAAAGAGTTTTTTCTCTTCAATATACTTTTTCCTAGATAACCCTGGTTGCACTTACCAAGTGGAAATCGTGTTCCATCCATAACAATCATAGTAACAGTGTCTACGTTGCTCACCAAATTGCCGTTTTGGTTTGATATATCAGCAAATAATTCACAATTAGATGATGATTTATGAAAACTAATTGCTTTACAATGGACTTCAGCTAAACAAGCCATTTGACACTCGCGGATATTTGACGCAATAACAACAACCAATGGTGAGCAACTTGATCTAGAGCATTGAAATTGCCAACCATCGTTAGCAGACATGTAAAGTGATCGCGTATCATGTGTGCCGGATTGTGTAACAAGAAGAAACAGAAGAAATAGAGAATTTCTTCTTCCCGTACCCCCCCCCCCCCACATAACCAACAGAAATGTTAGTTAAAAGAGGAATTTCACTTCAAATGAAATACAATGTGAAGACGTAGCATTAAATACCTTCTCAGTTTTTCTCTTTTTCTCCCATCCTTTTTTCTTTCTCTTTTTTTCTCTCTCTCGCGCTTTCTTTTTTTCTCTTTCCGCACATCGTAGACATTTTGTTAAATCATTAGTGCGATGGAAAACTAGACATGACTTTCTTGTTTTGTCAGGATTGTCTAATAGAGCTTCAATTTGAAATATTTTGTATTTAGAAAGATAATTGTTTTCCGTAGTTAATGTGCAGGCGGAGAACAAAAATACATATATCTGACGATCGTGTTTTTACATGAAAAAAACAGTTTATTTGTTTATAATATGAGACTACTTTATATTAAATTTAATTCCATATATCAGCATAAGAAACGTTGTTTGAAATAAATTAATTAAGTGAAACTACTTTTCAGCATCATAAAGTAACTTCAATAATTCTACATCTTCACAAATAATCAGACATTTTTCTTCGAATGAAATGTATCTCATTCAACAGAATGGTGTCTGTTGTCTCTTTTTTAGTTCTATGCTGTTATAATATAAAATTTGTATCCAGTTCAAAAACTATCTCAAGATAATTTGATTTTTTTCCAAAGAAAGATTAGAAAAAATCACATTTCGTACAATGATTTTTCCCTGTTATAATCAGAATAATGGAAATTATATCGTCAGAAAAAACTGTATATTACCAAAAGAGGATGGTAACAAGTTTCCGTTGATGCCGGAAGAAATACACCGTTACTATGTCGTTAGGAAAATTAACAATAACGTTTATGACGTCTTTACTTTCTGTATTCATTTTATTTAGCAAAATTAATACAAATTTATTCTACAGTTTTGAATGTATTGTATATCGTTGTGTTTTGTTCATGAGTCTCTAAACCTGTAAGATCTAAACTAGTAAGATAATTCTGGAACCAATTCTTTATATTACAGCTATGTCTCTTTCTTTTCACACGTCATAGATATTTTTAATTCATCAGTGCGATGGAAAATCAGTCATGACTTCCTTGTGTTGTCAGGAAGGTGTAGCAGAGCTTCACTTTGAAAAAAGTATATTTAGAAAAACAATATGTTTTAATTCATCAGTATGATGGAAAACAAAATACGTATATTTTAAAATCTTGTTTTATGCAGAAACAATAATCATTTCATTTGTTTATAACGTGAGACCACTTTATATTAAATTTAATTCTGTATGTCAACATAAGAAACCCCTTATAAAATAAATTAATTAAGCGAAACTACTTTTCAGCATTCTAAAGTAACTTCAATAATTGTTTATCTTCACAAATATTTAGATATTTTTCCTCGAATAAAATATATCTCGTTCAATAGAATGATAATTACTCTTTTTTTAGTTTTATGCTGTAATAATATAAAATGTGTGCACAACACAAAAACTATCTGAAGATAATTTCACTTTTTTTTCCAAAGAACCGTTAGATTAAAATACACTGCGCAATGATGTTTGCCTGTTATAATCAGAATAATGAAAACTGCATCGTCATAGAAAACTGTGTGTTACAAAAAAGGATGGTGACTAATATCCGATGATGTCGGAAGAAAAACATCGTTACTATGCCGTTAGAAAAATTAACAATAACGTTTAAAACGTCTTTACTTTCTTTACACATTTTATTTAGCAAAATCAATGCAAATACTCTTTAGAGTTTTAAATATGTTGTGTATCATTATGATATGTTCGATTTTGTTCATGAGTCTCTGAATTCGTAAGATCTGAACTAGTGGGAAAATTCTTGAATCATTCCTCTGTATTACGACTATGTCTCTTTCTTTTGATACATCATAGATATTTTCTCATTTCATTTGTATGATAAAAGAACTAATCATGATATAATTTTTTTTGTAAGATTGTGTAGCAAACTTCATCTTAAAAAAACTACTTTTAGAAATAGAATATTTTTTCGTAGTTAATGTACACGTAGAAGACAAACGTGTATATATCTTAAAATCTTGTTTTATGTAGATAATAATCAGTTTACTTGTTTATAATATGTCAGTACTTTAAGTTTAATTTAATTCCATATGATAACATAAAAAACGCTTTACGAAATAAATCAATTTATCTTCAAATGAAATATATCCCGTCCAATAACATGATGCCTGTTCTTTCTTTTTTTCCGTTCTACGTTGCAATAATATAAAATGTGTACACAACATAAAAGTTATTTCAAGATAATTTGATTTTCTTCACAAAGAAACGTTCGAAAAAAATCTTTGTGCAACGTTGTTCGTCTATTATAATTAGAATAATGGAAACTACACCGTCAAAGAAAACTGTGTATTCAAAAAAAAAAGATGGAGATAAATATCTGCTGATGTTGGAAGAAAAACACCGTTACTATGCCGTTAGGAAAATCAACAATAACGTTTATGACGTCTTTACTTCCTTTATACATTTTGTTTAGCAAAATTAATGCAAATACTCTTAAAGTTTTGAATATATTCTGTATCATTGCAATATGTTTTCTTTTGCTCACTAATCTTTTGAATCCATAAGATCTAAGCTTGTGAGGTAATTATTGAACTATTCCTCCATATGACAATTATAAGAAATAATAAACGCAGAATACATAAACTCTATATTCGAAATTCACAGAATAGAAGGCATCCATAATACTCCCAAAATTTTAAGCACCTAGAAAACTCACAATTTATGAAGACGAAGAATGGTGAAAACTCTACAAGCACAAAAAACAACATTTTCTTCACTTTTGCAAGTCAACAAAAATAATTTTGCATAAACATATATACATCAAGTTATTGTTCAACAAAGAGTATAATAATTTTTTTAAATTTTATTTTGTATTAAACAGAAGAGAAAAAAGAAAAAACATATATGCCAAAGATAATGAATATTATAGCGGGAAGGCCTTTCGAATTTTTTCTTCTTTATCAAGCTAGTTTTAAAATGGTCGTATATTTTTATAATAAGTACAAGTAACGCTCATCCGATGGATTCGCTGACCCTTTTCTGAAAGAAAATTTCCTATGATTATCATTAAAAATAATCTTGATTTTGAATACATGTCAATAAAAGGAACCTGAGCAGGCTCTACTCATCATAAAATCTTAATCGAACATGATTCATTTTTTGAATTTGAGGAATAAACGATCAATCGCAGCCGTATATCTCATTTTTTGAGAAACTAATCTAGTTCAAAGAGATTAAGGAGTCGTGATGCTGTATATTCGTGAATTCTTACACTTTAAAAATAATCTGAGCAAAGTAACCTTAATATTCCTGAATCATCAGGAAAATTGATGTTATGAAAAAAATCGATTCTCTTTCCAAAATGTATTCAGCAAGTTTAATAACACAACCAAACTGGGATATGTTTGGGATCACCTCGAAACAACATTATTTGACAGAAAGATATTCATTTAAAATGACACAATCCCGGACAACTCCTAAAACCTTTTAGGGTCGTACAACTGCATATCTACTCCTGCTCACACCAGAACAAACAAAGAAAGCCATGTTTGCATCGACAATTCATTTATTGAATAGGTCTTATTACGTCGAATGTGTAATAAACATTTCTTTTTAGTTCAAGAACCGAATCATTTAGCAATCTTTCATAAAACTCCAAATCTCACGTATTACACTCAGGATAAACCTTTAAAATCAACGTCTAGCCGTTTCTGCGTTTAACCCTACTATTTCCTTCACTATTAGTACAGCTTAGAAGTTAAGAGGTGCATTTCGTGTGATTTTCTCTTAGAAAGATACTCGGCATTTGATACTATGATTCTCAAAAAGAAACTAAGGAAAGAAGTATGTTGTAAGCTGTTACGAATAGAGTACATTATAGTGTGCCATAGCAAAGATCTTCATCTATTTCGAATATTATTATACAGTTAAAATCTACGATCATTTAACAGTAGGATTTCAAACAACTGTTCTTTTTTTAAAATTATTTGTTTCAGTTTAACCAAAAAATCCGATTATAGTTATCAACTAGGGTCTGGCAGGATAGGGTTTTTTTACTTTAATCTCGTTCTTGCGTATTAAAAGTGGTTCCCGTTTGAACCCGATTTTTCTGAATCTGCTAGAGATAGTTTTTAAACACATGTTTAACAAGTGAATACCCACACCTATCGAATTCAACAAAACAATTTCCTAAAAACCTATTCTTTGAGTAAAAAAATGAGGGACAAAAAAATTCTGAAAAAATTGACCTCAGATTCTGATTCCCCGACCCTGATTGGATTATGCAAACAAACTTTAAGCATTTTAATGACCCTATTTAACGAGCCTATAATCCTTTCTTTCAGAAAAAGAAATAAGAGTTATCAATTGGAAAATCATTACTTTTTGAAGAGCTTGCTTTTGTTTTGATAGACGTCACTCTTATGATCATCTTGAATTTCTACGTAAACGTGCTTAAATCTTTTCGGCATGAAACTTATTTTGATTTGTATATGGCACTATCCATTTAAGGGTCTGGGTCTGAAACAATAAAGCTACTTACACAGACCCACACCCTCACCTTCAAGATATTTGAATATTCTTCTAAACACGTGTTAATAACTTTAAGTCGAAATTCTAACCGACTGTTTTCTATTCAACATATTTTATTTGCTTATGAATCATCATCATCACCTTCTCTCTCATCTTTAGAAACTGACGACATATTTCATTCTCTACAGGCTCTTCATCCAACATCAATGTTTTCTCGTATTTTGAATAAATATACGGTAAACAGATTTCAAAACTATGATTTTATATGACTTAATATGTGATACATATAACAGGAAAAGAACAGAATCTGGAAATTCCGAGATTCTATGGAATTCTTAGGAATCCGAAAGAATCATACTAAATTTAT